AGAGATGATGCCCCGCTGACCTGGCCAGGGTGAGATGGTGGCCCGGTGGATGGCCTGGGAGGCCCGGGACTTGCAGTAGTCAGAGTGCAGGAGGGCGTTGAAGAGGGTGGACTTCCCGGTGTTGGTGGCGCCCACCAGGTAGACGTCCCCATTGAACTTCCAGGAGCGCTGAAGCTGGCTGATGAGCTCCTCCAGGCCGAAGCCTGTCTTGGCGCTGATCAGGAGCGGCTCCTCCTTGGCGGGGAGGCCCGCTTGGGCGCAGGCCTGGCGAAGGCTTCCCCGCAAGCGGCGCAGGTAGTCGTGGGAGTCTCCCGGGAGCAGGTCCACTTTGTTACCCAGCACCAGGAGGTGGGTTTGGTCCCCGACCAGGCTTGACAGGTCGGGCAAGAGTAGCGATTCGGGGAGGTCGAGGAGGTCGGCCAGGAGCAGCACTAAGGGCGGGCGGTTGTGGCGAGAGGGGGCCTTCAAGGCGGCGCCGACCAGGCTGCGGAACTCCTCCCGGGGCAGCTCCACCTTCAGCGCCTGGCGGTGGTGCACCAGGAGCCAGCAGCGTTGGCACACCGCCCCCTCCAGGCCCTCGCCGCCTTCCCCCTCCTCTTTCAGGCTCCGGAACTTCTCGCTGGGCAGGTAGCCAGGCAGAGCCGGGTCGCGGCAGTGCAGCTCCGCCCCGCAGCCCGGGCAGCCCAAGCCGCTGGCCGGCAGCGACGGGTCCGGGAGGCCCGAGGCCTGGTGGAAGCTCGCCCGAGGCTTCCGGCGCCGCTCTTCCGGCCTCGGGCCTGCTCTTTGTCGCGGCGGCGCGGGAGGCTTCTTCTCCTCCTCCGGGCCCGGGTCAGAAGGGAGGTACTCCGGGAAGACGAACTCCTCTTCTCCTTCCGCCGCGGCCCAGCCCCTGCCTAGGCCCGGGAAAGAGGCCAGGCCACGGTGAGGCCTTGGGAGCGCCCCACGCCACAGCCGCCCCAAATGCAGCGCCCGCCTCAGGCCGTTCATGCTCCTCCGTGAGGGAAAGCTGAGGGAAGGACAGCGAGGGCGAGGGCCAGAGCGGCCCCAGCCAACGAGGGGGCTTCTTCCGGAAGCAACTCCGCCCCCTATCGGAGGCGCCTGGGCTCTGCATAACTTCTCCTTTCAAGCTCCTCTGAAATGTGGCTGGGCCTCAAGGCTAGGCAATGAGTCTTAAGGCTAGGCAATGGGCCTCAAGGCATTTTCCCGAATGAAGCAGAGAGTGTTTGAAGACCGGGGCATTGAATCATAGAATCAAAGAGTTGGAAGAGACCTCATCCAGTCCAACCCCCTGCCAAGAAGCAGGAATATTGCATTCAAATCACCCCTGACAGATGGCCATCCAGCCTCTGTTTAAAAGCTTCCAAAGAAGGAGCCTCCACCACACTCCGGGGCAGAGAGTTCCACTGCTGAACGGTTCTCACAGTCAGGAAGTTCTTCCTCATGTTCAGATGGAATCTCCTCTCTTGTAGTTTGAAGCCATTGTTCCGCATCCTAGTCTCCAGGGAAGCAGAAAACAAGCTTGCTCCCTCCTCCCTGTGGCTTCCTCTCACATATTTATACATGGCTATCATATCTCCTCTCAGCCTTCTCTTCTTCAGGCTAAACATGCCCAGCTCCTTAAGCCGCTCCTCATAGGGCTTGTTCTCCAGACCCTTGATCATTTTAGTCACCCTCCTCTGGACACATTCCAGCTTGTCAATATCTCTCTTGAATTGTGGTGCCCAGAATTGGACACACTATTCCAGGTGTGGTCTAACCAAAGCAGAATAGAGGGGTACCATTACTTCCCTAGATCTAGACACTATGCTCCTATTGATGCAGGCCAAAATCCCATTGGCTTTTTTTGCCGCCACATCACATTGTTGGCTCATGTTTAACTTGTTGTCCACGAGGACTCCAGGATCTTTTTCATATCTGTAGGGATACCAAGCTGCTTGTTTATAAAGCTATTGTCCTCCTAACCCTGCTATACGCCTGCAAGACGTGGACTGCCTACAGACATCGCATGCAACTCCTGGAACAATTCTATCATCTTCCTCCCGAAAATCCTGCAAATCTCTTGGGAAGACAAGCGGACAAATGTCAGTGTGCTGGAAGAAGTAAAGACCACCAGCATTGAAGCGATGGTCCTCCGCCATCAACTCCGCTGGACCGGCCACGTTGTCCGGATGCCCGACCACCGTCTCCCAAAGCAGTTGCTCTACTCCGAACTCAAGAACGGAAAACGGAATGTTGGTGGACAGGAAAAGAGATTTAAAGATGGGCTCAAAGCCAACCTCAAAAACTCTGGCATAGACACTGAGAACTGGGAAGCCCTGGCCCTTGAGCGTTCAGCTGGAGGTCAGCTGTGACCAGCAGTGCTGTAGAATTTGAAGAGGCACGAATGGAGGGCAAAAGAGAGAAATGTGCCAAGAGGACATCAAGCCAACCCCGACTGAGACCACCTTCCATCTGGAAACCAATGCCCACACTGTGGAAGAAGATGCAAATCAAGAATAGGGCTCCACAGTTACCTACAGACCCACCCCCAGTACATCGATCTTGGAAGACAATCCTACTCGGACAATGAGGGATCGCCTAAGTAAGGCCTCAAGGAGCCCCCGGTGGCGCTGAGGAAGACATCATTTTTAATAGAATTTTCATGGGTGCTTCCAAAGATTGAAAGCCCCATATGTCCTCATTGTGCAGAGGCCTTTGCTTGCAAAAAAACACTGACAGTTGGGGAAAATGCTGCCGCAGAGAGGAAGTTACCTCTCAAATAAAAATTCTCAGGACAAAACTGGTTAGCTAGTACGCCCTAATTTCCCAGCCGCTTGAAGTCCATGCTTGAAACAGAAAAGCAGATAAGACTGGACAATTGAGACATTCAGGGCCATAAATATGAAAGCACAATTGTGCGATTGTTAGCCACTGTGACTGTTTGCCTTCTTGGTTGTTAGAGTCATAGAGAGCCAATGAAAATCGGTTAGTCAGCTTAGACCAATGGATTGATTGCTTTTTGTACACCAATGAGACAATGCTTTCAATTTTCTGTGAAAGTGATAAAAAAAATTGCAACCCCATTTCAAGTTGCAACAAACGTTTTGTGCAGTGGGCACAAAATGACCTGCTGTCACTTGTTGCTTTGGCCCGCAATAAAAGCCTTTTTAGAAAGAATCCAACTTGTGGCCTCTTCCTTGCACCGCAGGCCAGGCGTTTAGGGGACTCCTAAGCTTATGCAGAATTCGGCTGGAGTACTGGTGAGCCATTGACCTACAGCACATTGAGTTAAACCCTTGTGCCAGCAGGACAGCTGACCGATAGGTCAGCAATTCAATTCCAGGGAGAGCAGGTTGAGTAGGTCCTTCTGTCAACTCCAGCTCCCCAGCACAAGGGTTTAACTCAATGTGCTGTAGGGCCTCCCACAAGGACGGTAAAAGTTCAAACATCCAGGCGTCCCCTGGGCAATATCCTTGCAGACAGCCAATTCTCTGACACCAGAAGCGACTTGCAGTTTCTCAAGACACCCTTGAAACTAAATAAAAAGCCGTGAAGGCAATAGCCCTCAAAGGCAAGGGCAAACATGTGGCACTCCAGGTGTTCTGCACTTCAATTCCCACAATTCCTAACAATTCAATTTCCCACAATTCAACAGAAAGGAGGAAACCATGGAAAAAAGCAAAATCTGGCTACCAGTATTAAAAAATTCTAAAATCAGGACAGTAAATAAAGAACAACACTTAGGAAACAGAGGAATTCCAGACAGGAAACAATCAGGGCCAGTTAACTCCTCCCAACAAAGGATTCCCCCCAGGTAGGAAGCAACCAGCCTTTGAAGCTGCAAGGCTATTCAATGCTAATTAAGCTGGCCAATTGCAACATTCACACTTGTCTCACCCTGGACATTTCACAGATATATAAACCCCACTTGTCGTAGTCCAGCACCCAAATAGTTTCGCCATGTGGGCTTTCTTTATGCAAAACCAGTGATTTCCAAGCCTAGCTTTTCCAGCTGTTTTGGACT